TATGTTTCACCGCGATCTACCTCAAACAGCTGAATCCTCATATGAACTTCTTTACCACTGCAAAGCAGTGAGCACGATTGCTGGAGCGGGCGGTTGCTGCCAGCTTTGATGGTTTGGCCGCACTTCGCCTCCACCAGTAGCAATGACCGCCTGGCCCATCCATGGTGCCCACTGCCTTTGAAGTTTGTATTTCACTCTGTGTGAAAACTTACCATGGAAGAGATTCCTACGGCACTATTACGTACAATAGTTGGATTCAGTTCAGAAGTGAAAATATAAAGAATATTGAATGCTCCCTGAATGCAGACTTTGCCGAGCAACATGAAAATTAGCGCCATCTGAAAAAAAGTCAGTTAGGGGGGTGATTCTGTCTTCGGAGAAGAATTGTATATCTAGAGAAAACGTACCGTAGTTCGCTTATTGTACATTGCCAACATTGCTGCCATCAAGAGCGATCCGGCACCGATCAATGTAATCATTTGTGAGCTTAAAGATGAGAGGTTCATGAATTTTCCAGAAAATCCCCAGGAAAGGATCGAAACAGGGCGAGTTCTACCTTTTTCTCCCGTATTTCAATAAGAACACACAAGCAGCTAACGTTGGCAGTTCGATAGCTCCGGCTATAGCATTATTGAGAAAGAAATTGCCATCAAATACCGATCTAAAGAAAGAATAAAGTGAAAAGAAATAGCTCTAGTTTGAAGGCGCATTCCGCTCTGATCGTATGGGCGGGGCCAGAGAGCCAACACATTTTCTCGCGTTTCTCGCGACACTGGAAAAAAAGCGCACATCAGCGAGAAAAACGTGACGGCTTTCTATCTCCGCCCCTGCGGCTATTGTGGAATTAGCCTCTAACGGATGGAATAACCGCACCTTCCAGGTGAAGACTGATCTGATAGGGCAATAACAAGGCCGTAGTAGACAAGTGCCGTAGCGATCTGTAGAATGTTCAAGTTATTGCAGTATCCCAGAGATACGGTAGAAATAAACGTACCCAAATAATGAACAGAATAATATTCCGCGTACGAAGTTCGGCTGCACGGAAAAGATGAAAATAGTGAGGCCTCTCGTCTTTCTTCATCCATTTCCTTTTTTCTGCATGACGAATCTATAGAAAGAAGCGCGAATGTATTTACTGTTCACAGGAAGAGTGGTATTCATAGCGTATACGACAGGATTAGGACCTGTTAAAGGGAAAGCCCGCGATCAGATATTCTGGGTAGTGGTGCTGAACTAGCGATGCCAGGGTGCCAACAAAGTCAATAGGGTAGAAAAAAATGGTCGCGAGTGCCTCCAATAAAACCTCTCTGCGAGCACACTTGTACGAGCAGAGGAAGAGCAAAGAGAGTGATCGGACGAGATCACCGGGCGAGTGCTGTTGTGGTCGATGTGGTTGCGCCATTGATCACAGCTGATTTCCTGTTGCCAATAATGTCTCTGCCGATGTTCTTTAGCAGGTCTTCTATCATTATGGATAGCAGAGCGGCGGGCGGGGTCAATGAAAATGGGTCGGGCCAATGAGAAGAACGACAATGTCTCCGCCTTCCTCCCTCACCTCCGCGCCACAAAATGGTGCAATCGCTGTCTCTGCGGGCCTGTCTACCTGCTCACGAAGGGAGAGGAAGATGTCAGCTGATCGCGGACAGTGCCTTTAACGCAAAGCGAAGTTACTTGTTCATGTCACATTTTGTTCGCTGCGAACGCTGGGGCATTTCGGAGCGGCTAGATTTGGCACGGCGCCAGCCAGTTTTTCATCATTGTGATCCCTGCCGGCTCCCCAGTCGGCAGAGAACAGGGTGCCGCTGGGGAAAACCCATCCTCTTGGAACGCCCTAGCGCCTGCAGCGAATAGAGCTACAAATTCATGAGTAGGAGAAGAGTCCACTGAGAACACCGGGTCACTGTTCAAACTCACCAGCCCAAGATCGCTTGGCAGACTGCTGTTGTTATTCTTGCAAGCTTTGCGGCGTATGATCTTTTCGGCGTCTTCCACTCGATTCATCAAGATAAGCCATCGTGGAGATTCGGGCAGGAAATGAATGAACACCAGTGCGATGCAGTGCAATCCAACGGTAATCATCTGAAATGATGGAAATTGGCACTGTTCGGCTTGGGAGGGGCATTTCGCAGTATCGCTAGTCTCTTACTAGTTAGTGTTAAATTACACGGCCACACCTTGGCGAGACCTGTGGACTCCAGACATGAGGAAACAAAGCTCCTGCTCTTGCATAGGTGAACAGGAACTTTCATGTGTCCGAAGGAGACATCGACAGTGCTTAACGGAAACCTGCAAATGCCTCCACCAAGCCCGATCAAGCCAAAAATGTGACCAGGTGGTACTCGAGTAGGCACCTCATGCCCCGGAGCGAGTGCGCTATCCCCAGCCACAGAGGCCACCTTCTACCCTATCAGCCTGATAGCTTCTATGTCATAGCCTCATTGCTCTCATACGTTTGTAATATAACTCATTCTTAACATTCTTGCAGGCCGCTCGTTCGGGCAGAGCCAGGCATACAACTGTGCCCTAATCCTTGGCGCGCTTCTGCTCTTCCTTCTTAGGAAAGGGGAATGCACCAATAAGGAAAACGGAGCCGTTTAATTTACTCCGCCAATACGATTGGACCGGACAGTGTCTTCAATATAACTGCTAGTGACTGAATAGTATTCAATAGGGAGTAATCCGTACATGTATCGCAGTCCAGGTCTTGGTAAGATAGGCAACTAGGGCCAGGAAAGCGTAGCCACAGGCCCATGGAGCTTGGAGTAGACTGCCAACGATGGATCGATATTCTTTACCTAAAAGCTGAACCATAAGCCTCAACGAAATAAAATTCTACAAATATGTACTGACCAGTAATTTCCATACAAAGTACATATGCAGCCAGATCAGCAGCTTCATTACTGGCAGCGAGCAAGAATCGTACAACAAGGAATATTTCGAATTCACGTGAATAGCCCAGAAGGAAGCCAAAGATCATTGATAAAATACCAAAGCCGTAGATAGCAGTTTTTCTACCGTACCTTAAACAACGTGGATTAGTTAGGTGATGAAGGTGTGAAAAGTAGTAGAGACCCAAGGAAAGGAGTGCATGCTGCGCCATAATAACAGAATTATCTGAAATATGCTGAGGTGATCCTAGACTGAACAGCCCCGCTCTACTTTGAGGTTTTCAGTGAAACTTCCAGGGTTTACTTCCTGATAGACCAATGGGACGCAAGCCGACTAACCACAAGGAGAGGC